CTACTTCTGTTTCTCAAGGTGTCACATATAGAAAAGCTTTTATTTCCTCTTGTTCCCTTTCAACCAAGTTTGTACTATTGACCTAAGGTTTGTTAAGGATTCTGAGCTTTGTTACCAAATTCTTGTTAGCAATTGTGTTCATTCAGTGATTGAATTGTCATTCCATGTTTACTCAGTGCATTCACTCCTAGAAATTGGTTGCCCTTTATTTTTAAAACTTTCTTGAGCAACCTCTGTTCTCACAAGGAAGTAGTCCCTTTATCTATTCTAGAGAATGAAGAGTTCTCTGAACATATCACATGCAAAGAGCAGCAATTAAGAAGATAAATTTTTCAGCTAAAAAGCAAGGAAGTCCATATTACCATGTTAACCTTGCTTGTCAGGCTGCTCTTTTGATGTCTTTTGTAGAATAGTATCCTCCAATAAATAACAAAAGCAAAGCAGGGCAGCCAATATATTAACATAAGGATGTGTGATTACATTTTTTCTCAAAAAAGAACTTTGAATTTTAACACAAACATAATTTAAATTAGCATCCAATACATAACCTTAATAAGGCAAGCTCAAGAACCCAAATATTATGAAAATAATATTTCTAAAATAGGACAAATTGGTTATGTCTGATCCAGTCAGAAGTTTGTAGGTTCAGTCATAAAATGTATGCCTTACATAAAATGTAAGAAACTATTAGTCATATATTCCTCAAGGAAATATTTATAGGGCATTGTACATTGTTATGGAATATTTCTAAAGGTTTTAGTCTCACACTATTGATCAATTTTTTTGTTCAGAGAGCATCATACTCCTTCACAGTATCTCATAAACTAGATCTAATCTCTTCAACTATAAATATGACTAGTACTTTCTTTACACAATTGCATCTTCTAATACAACTATTTATTGCCGGTATACTTACAATCCGTATTGAAAAAATTCTTTCCAAATAGTAATAAAGAAGGTAAATATATTAACAAAAAACATTTATTTGTAAAGAAATAGTTACACACCAGTGTAAAAAAGTTATTGAAAATTACAGAAGCATGAACTAAGTTGCTGTCTTCATTCTTGCCTCAGATACCAAATCAGAAATGATAGCATTAAGCTAACAATTTTTTTAAAAAGATTAAACGTTAATATTACAACAGGAACACTAGGTATTTTCTAGATGGAAACACTTTGCAGAAGAGTAATATTGTCTCCTTTTAACATGATTCTACCTGCAAAGGCAAAAAGTATGATTAAAAATGTAATACATTAAAGTGTATGTGCATTTGTTCTAATAATATTCTATCTGTAGCTTCTCAAATAACAAGCTAGTGTTACAATTTCTTGCTGAATAGATTAACATTTTCTTACTTTAAATATCCCATTGCCCAATTCTGGCAGAAATTTCTCACTTAAAAGACTATTCCAATAATACTTCAGAATAGGATATGCTACACAAGCAAATATAATTACAGCAGAAAAAAATACACAGTTCTTATTAATCATGGTGTAGAAATATTGTATTATTTTAATACATTTTCAGATATATAGGTTATAGATGCTTTTAGTAAAGATTCTGAGGAAGAGAATCACACTACTCTAGATAAGCTATCAAGGTGCCTGCTATTGTCTTGTGTCGTGCTGATTTAATTTTTTAACTGTGCTAGATATGGATAGATTCTGTATTGAGTTACATTTGTTTTCAAAATATAAAGAACATGATAGAAGATACATGTACCCCACTGATAACAAAAAAGTTGGGAATTTCTATATTGTAGCTCACTGGCTTAATGAGAAATCATTAATAGCAGGTGGTGAATGATGTCTATAGCTAGTTCTATCCATGAAGGATACTATCTAATCAAGGGATTCTCAAAAGCTTTGTGGTACTATTCTTAAAATGATAAAATTCTTTCCCCTAGAACAATACTAATGATTTCATTCAGGCTATGGCTGGGCAAGAAATAAATACTATATTTACTTTTATTAATAAAAGTACATCTATACATAACTAAAAGCCTAAATTTTGAGATACAAAGCTGCCTGGTGTGGACATTATCCCTGCTTTACTTGTGCAGGCTTGATGAGATTGTATTCAGAAGAAGCTGTGCATATAAATTAGTGGCCTCTTTTTTAGTAGATGTGAGTAAACCAACTACAATTTTTTCTTGGATTAAGCTTGAGCCTTTCTAAACACACGCACAGCGTCTTGTGTTCAGGCATCTGTACTTTAGTGATTATGTTGGGTTGAACACTAACACATTTTACACACTAAATATACTTTAATATGAAAACATTAGCAGGTTTAAAGGATTTATTATCTGCTACATATCGAAACTGAAATTAGAAAATCAGTTCCAAAGCCATTATTCTAAGTACCGAACTCAATTCTTTTAAATTTCAAAAGGACAACATTTGGACTTTTATTATATATTAGATTATAGGACTAGCAATATAATTCATTTGGATTTCTTCAGTTGTGATTAATTAAACAATGAATACTATTACAATGTAATGGGGAAAAAAATCCCACATTCAGTCCTGGCCTAGTTTTACAGGAAAATTGTATTATTTTTCTTAATGGATAATATTTGGCAAGAAAGAGGAATGCAGTATTCACCTTTTGACTACCCCTGAGCCTTCAGCAGTTTTTGGTGCTATTCATCAGAAGTAATGTGCCAATTAAATATATGGAACTGTGAACTGTGAAATGGCAGCTCCAAGCCTACTTGGATGCTTGTTCATTTACATTCAAATGCAAAATAGAAATTCCTATTATTAATTTTCACAAAATTAAATAAGCATTTCTTTTTTTACTAGTAACAAAAAAAGGATGTCTGATATATACTACCAAAAAGTTTACACTTACCCAGCTGTTTTCTTGATTTTGTTTTAGAGTGAATTTCCTCAGCATCGTCCAGAACCAAATTCATATATTCATCAAAACCCTGTGAACCAGAACACACAAATACGACAATACATTTAATGGAAGGAAGTTAACATCAGGGATGGTAGTAAAGATGCAAGAATGGATTTAGTTAGGTTCATCTAATGGAGATTACTTTGATTATATCTAAAATATCTTCATCCTGTTCTTTTAAACTATCAAAATTCCTAAAATAGAATGATGTATCATAAATGAAATAGCATGAAGCAACAATCAAAAAAATAATTTAACTAAACATTCAGAAAAAGAAAATACTTAACAGCTGGGCCAGTTTTAAACATCCCTGAAAATATATTGATGCAGGCTTTCACAATCTGTGTTAATCCAACAACAAGTGCCCAGATAATACTAAAATGAGTGATTTTTCATAATTAACTCTAAATGATGACGTTCAAGAAAAATATATTTACATTACTGATAGTTTTCATTTAGGCTGAGATAAGAAACTAAGAACAAAATGATTTCTTTTTGCAATCATATTTAAGTTATATTTTTCTTTACATGTATGTGAAAGTAATTACAATACTTACAATGATACAGCCTTCTATCCGCATGTTTACTTGTTCATATAGCCAAACCTGAATCCGGGACCTCTGCAAAGCAAAGAAACTTATTTATCACATTGTGGAATTCTGTATAGGCTTACAATCTTATTTGCATGGCCCAAGTTCTTGTGGCTCTCTAGAAATTGCAAAGGGAAACTCCCTCCCCCCCCCCAAAACCTAGCTGGTTCAATTTTTTCAGTGAAAGTGAAACCCTTATTAAAATGCAGTTATTTACTCAAGGTGTAATAAGATCTTAATTTAAAACCATTTATAACACCAAATAATTTTATTAGAAGTATTCTGAAAGAAACTGAAAGAATAAGCTTAAACTCACTATTACTGCTTTTAACTTTTTGAGGTTCTTATATTTTTTGTTACTTATAATGATAAATACTTTTAACATTTCTGAAATGCACACTAATGTATTTACTGTAGCTTTCTACAAAAATTGCTTCAATCACATTAATTGGTCACTTCCCTATTAAAGCTAAGGAGGGAGGGGTTGTATTATATATACAAAGAGAACAAATCTTCTCATTGTATAGCACAAATGGGGGTGCCGTAAATATCAGTAATTATGCAAGCACACTGTTAAATTTGAAAAAAATACATTATGTATACTTACATTCTGTAGGTACCGAAAAATGAGGTTCTATCACAAATACATTTAGGAAAAAATATATATAAAGGATTACCCCCATTGATTGTTTCTGACAGAAATTCAACATTTCTTCTTCCAACTGTCGAAGTTAACAGGATAGGGAACACACCGTAGGTTTCTTACACACAAGAACTCACACAAAATGAAAGCATATTGATGGCTGAGGCACCGTAGAATTAAGCTTACTTAAACCGTTTCTTTTCTGAATCGACTTTAATGCTACTCCCAACCGGATTAATTATATTTAGGAACTCAATCTTGTATCCCAGATGTTCAAGGCGGTTTTCTCAGCCAACCTATTTTAGTCTCACAATAACTAACCTGAGCATCCGAGTCACCAAGAGAATAATAAAGCTTAACAAGATCTTCCCGCCCCTACAAAAAGTGTTTCCAAAAAACAAATAAAACCGAGGAACATGCCCATTTCTCAGCCTAAAGCCTCCCGCTCTCTTCCTTTGCCTCCCTCCCCCCCAACCAGAGACCCGGGTGTTTGAGGCAGTCCTCACTGGCCTTTCCCCTCCCTCTGCCCAATAGAGCCCGCTTCCTCTCCCTTGCCACAGAAGGATACGATAGGCTGCACCATTACTTTCTGCACCTTCTGGCCTTGCCCGCGGTACGCCATGGCCGAGATTCGGGATAGGAAAACCAGTAAGTTTAAAGAACAGCGCTGAGAAGCTTTTTTTTTTTTTTTTAGAAAAAGAAAAAAAGGGGAAAAAACCCGTCCTCCGTTTCCCGCACACACGCAGCTCGCGACCCGCCGACGTACTGAAGAGGTTCCGGTATAGACCGGACGTGACGTGTATCTAGTTTCGTTCATAATGGTGAGAGCGAAGGATCACGGGTCACGTAAGTGGAACTGCTTCTTTATTTTTAGCCATGTTCCTTCCGGGCGTCAGTGAGAGGTGCCATCTTAGAGGAGGGCAGCGGCGGCGTTAACGGCGACGACGGGAGTTTGATCTTCGCCTCGCAGAGAAGCGGTGGAAGTGCGGTGCTGCGGAACCCGAGAGTTTGGTGTCGTCGTTCGGTAAAGTCCCTGCGCATGGGTGACAAAAGACCTGGGTCTCCTCCCCCTGTCTCCGATGTACGGCCAGCGGCTTCCTTGCGTTTAATTTATTGATTTCTTTTTCGTCAGGAACGCCTTCCTCTAGGCCCGGAGCCTGGGACTCGGCCTGTGTCTATTTCCCCGTTCCGGCTTTTCCTGAGGCCTGCTCTGCTTACGTTCTCGCCTTACCGTTTAACGGAAATTAATTCCCAATTTCTGCAAACGGTGTTTTGATTATTTATTTATTTAGAATCTCTTCTCCCGCTCCCCATCCCCCAGCCCAGCCCGCCTGGGAAAGAAATGCCTTCTCTTTTTTTTTTAACCTTTTTAGGTAAGTGGTACAGCATTACCGCTGTATTCCTAGACCAGCCTCTTTCATTTAATCCCTCTTTGGTTAAGTAATTGTTTTCACCCCATTCCTTAGTTCCTTAAAGGTTGGGGGGGGGGGGAAACAAGTAGCAAACATTGTAAATAATCACCTGATTATTTACAGACAGTGCTTATTTGTTTGATAATCATATTTTTTAAATAGAACAGTGCTTATGATAGAGACATTATAAATTCGCTAGGATATGAAGGATAATTTATATTCCCACAAGATACCATTTTAGGAAATGGTGTCCTTTGATTGCAAGATATTTTGCATCTAGAAAATGATTATTATACCTACTAGTTTTTTAAAAATAGTTTTTTTTTGATACATGAATTATAGTGGATTAGAAAATGCAGCTCTTTCTAGAATGCAGGCTGGCACAGAGACCTAAAACAATTTATTAATCTAATAGGAAGTAATTTATTTGTATTTGCTGTAGATTAACAGATTTATTTCTTGTATTTTTTTTTTAAAAAAAACTTGTAACACAAATATACATATACATAAGCAGAGTAGTGCACTTTATCTGAGCTTTCTTCCTCAATGTGAGTTTAATGCCTGGTAGCTACAGGAACAGATCCATGCAGGTTTTTGGCAACTGTATGAAAGTGTTTTGTCATTGCCTTCTGTAGCAGCGTAACTGCAGCAAACTGTAGAGCTGTTATAAAAGAAAGCTGTGCCTAAATATACTAAACTGGGACTTTTGTTGTAGATAAGTCCTTGTTTGGGCCATGTCTGGAAGAGTTTTTTTTTTTTTTTATAAGGAGTAATATGGTAAAACCATATTGCTGGAATTGCTTGTTTTTTAAATTAAGATTCCATGCTTTATATTTAGTGAGCAAGTGCACAGTGGCATTAGATACAGGGTATATAAAAAGAAAAGGCTGGCTATGAGTAGACAGTCTATGTCTAAACAAAACAGCTGTGACAAAACTAAAGCAAAATGGGTATTCCTGAGGATGATGGCTAATCTATTTTGCCTGCTTTCCTGGCATATAGAACATATCACCAACAGGAAATGCATTCTAGAAGGGCAGTGTGCTGTAACACTGACAGATTCTATAGAATTTTAAAAGCTATCTAATATGTAACATTAAGCACTTTTGTGAGCCAGAGTGGGCTTTACTTGTATTGGTGGTGATAGTAAAATTTGTATTGGTAGTAATTAAAGAACCCCCTAATGTAGTTATAGGGCAAAGAACATTCATTTTATTCTGAATTTACATTCTATTTTCTGTATTATATTGAAAACTTAGTGTGAAAACATGCCTATTTTTATAGGCTGTTTCTGACAGTAGAGTACGAAAGGAATTTATAAGTGATTAGTGCTATCCTTGCATATGAGCCTTGTTCACTCCTTTGAGATGGTTGGATATTTCTGATAAGTCTATTGCTCTTCCCCTTTAAAACATGCAAAAAAGGCTTTCATAACAAGCACACCACTTTTGGCTTATGGATGGAAATGGATGCAAATTTAAGTGTTTTTTGGCTACCTAGATTCTTGTTTCAAGGAATAACTTCTGTAGGCTCCTGTGCAAATCTATGAATATCTATTTAGAGATCAGCTGAGTTGAAAGGAACCTACTCCAAGGTACATATAGAGTTAAAATTCTCAAATATGGATGCTATAAATAATTTTTAGAGGTAGTCTGATATATGAAAACATTGTAATCAAATCTCCGCCATCAGAAGGCTGTTAAGATTTGCTGCCCTTGGCAAGTGTTGTAATTGAGGAAAGGTTTAATTAGTTGCAATAATTATCAAATTATTGATTATCAAAGTATAAAAAACAGTTTTAATTATCAAAGTATAAAAAACAGTTTTAGGCAACTTAAATTGATAAATACTGTCCTATATATTGGTAGGGATAGCTGAGAAATTGGATACCAGTGCTTTCAAGACAACAAATCTCTCCATTCAAGAAACAAGGTCAGATCATATTTTTCAGTTTTGATTAGGTAGATTTTACTTAGAGCTTTGAAAGTTATGTAAATTGGTGCTGTGAAATGGCAAGTTAATTAGCAGAATGATAGCTCTAATTTTGGCTGTTTTAAACAGTTTAAAATGTAGCTGAAAATATTCCCTAGCCAGTATTTAAGTGTTAGGCGCAAAGGATCAGGAGCATATGTCAAGCCTATAGGCTCAAGCCTATACACAATCTAATCAACTAAAGTTCAGTATTAAATTAACACCAGATAATAGTAAATGGAATTCAAGAGGGATTGGACTTTGACTGTTGGTGGCTAGGTAATAATTGTAAGCTTATGATGTACTTAATTCTGCCCCTCGGCTCTGTGTGTTCTTCTACATTTATAGCTTCAAAGAATCTTGTAAACATACAAACATCCTGTGTTATCTGGATATGCTAATTGTCAGTGTTTCATAGTCAAGTGGAGCAAGTTGAAATGAGCAGAAAAATTAGAATCTGAGAGCTTCTGTCTTTAGATGATTCACTTTATATTGTTAGAAATAGTTCCCCTCCAAAAGGCTAATGGCCCTCTTTAGGACTTTGTACCAACTGAATTCAATTACAAGGCTTTATAAAAATGCCCTTTAAGTACAGAAATTGAGTTTCCTGCTGTTAGAGATATAAATTATTTTTGCACTAAAAGATGGAAAAATAATCTTTTTCACATTCTTTAAAACAGTTGGGGTTTTAATGCAGCAGTGGAACAGTTCAATAGTTCTGGCTTAATCCACAGGGTAACTAACAGTCATCTGTTACCCAAGTTAGAAAGATGGTATGTTCTTAAATTACTTACAACAGACATGTGCAAAATGCTTGGGATATGTACTCAGTGGATAGGTACCATAATACTGTTCCCCAAATTATCCAGTGTATATGAAAATGAAATGCTCCTAAAAATTATTTTAATTTTTCTTCTTATGACATGTACCTAAAGGACAACTTTTTTTACCATTTAAAGATGGTTCATGACTATTATTTTTTTTAAATATACATATTTTGTTTAAAGTAGAATGATTACGCAAATAATAATATGTATTTGACAGAAACCTTTTTCCTTCATTCAGATTTTTCCATCTGGAGTACTAGTATCATTTTGTGCCAGCAAGACAAGTTTATGCATAAAAAAAGAAATGCAAATAAAAAACAATTTTACAGATGACATTTTTTAAATTCCTATTGTTGAAATTCAACACAGACAATAATTTATTTTTAAAAATCCCTCTACTCTTTTAGAGTTGGGGAAATATACTATAAATATCCAAAGGCAAATTATTTTGTCTGGAGTAAAACTTTCAAACTTACTTTTTTACATTTATTAAAAATTACATATGCAAGATGATGTTTGAAAGAATAAATTTTGTTCTGATTTTCAGCACATTATTTGCTTGTGACTGTAAGAACATTAATTGTTAGGATGTTAGATCAGTGACATCCTTTCAATCTTATCGCTGACAAGCAACAACATCTTTTTTTTTTTTTTTAGGAAAATGTTGCACTGACAATGAGAGAACAAAATTTAGATTAGTTTTTTTTTTAAAAAAAAACTTGAATAGACTGGAAGTAAAATGCTTTATTAATATTATGCTGCCAAATATATTGCACTTGCAATTGCAAATACTATACAAAAGATTTGTCCATTTAATCTAAAAATACTTCTTACAAGGCACACATGTGTAAAGTCTGACACGCAGTATGAATATACCTATTTGTACTGTATGATTATTCATCTAAAAAATTATATGGAAGATTGATTTGTTGAAATACAGCTTATTAATACTGCCCTTGAGTATACATTTTTACATGTATAAACACATAATATGCAGCTTTATGTGTATATACATGTCTGACCTTATAGCTACTATATTTTTACTATGCAGTTAATAAAGACCGGGGAAGATTTTTTTCTTTTTTTCAATAGGTGAAGAGATCTTGAAGACCAGAAATTGAAATACTCTTTTAATTAAAAAAAAAAAAAAGTAAAATCCTTGGCTGTGGAAGACGGATCTTCTTTGCAGCCGGTTTGAAACAGAAGTTCCTCTTTGAATGAACTATTTATTTTGAAGAGGCAGTTAACCACTGTTTCCAGCTTTCCTGGCTATTCAAATGGACTTACTTTCTCCAGTAGTTGTAATTCACCCTTTATCTGAATTTTGAATGAGGATGAGATTTGTGTCCTTGACAATGTGAGGAAGAAAAATCTTTCTATCCCGTTGCTATTTTATGGATTGAGTGTTGATTCGACCTACAGGAGAAAAATAACTGGAAGTTTTTGAAGATAGTATCTGCTGATCATACCAAGGTATTTCAGTCTGTATTATTGGATTAAATCTGTGTTTTAATAACATTTTGCTTAACTATATTTTAAAATATTTTATTATATAGATTTATGTCTACAAGTTGACACGATTGGGCTGCAAACAATCAATAAAATAGCTTCAATAATATTAAAGACAAGTTGAAAACATGCACACATGGAGCTAAGTTCAAATAACAACAACAACAACAATAGCAGCAGCAACAGCAGCAGCATTAAATTCATTATTCACAAGAGGCCTACTGTTGGAAGAGCCAGGTCCTCAGTGCCTTATAGAAGGCTAGCAAGATTGATGTTCCATAGAGTAGGTGTTACAACAAAAGGTTTTAGATGTTATTGTTTAATGAAAGGGACCCGGAGAATGCTCATCCTGCTGGACTTCATGAAACAAGCAGACACAATAAGGTCATCCCACAAGCAAGCCAAACCTATCCCATGACAGGTTTTACAGATAGCCTTTGACCTTAATGGCTCCTTCATATCTTCCTCAAGATAAGCTCTTCCTCAAGATAAACTTTATGTGCACCTATAAATGCATGTAATAACTTGACTCCTTTTTTAAAAACAATACATATTAAGAGTTAAATGTTTATGGAAATGGGATGTTTCTAGCAAATGTAACATTTTCAATGATATTTAAATCTCTTATTCATTTGTTTTTAGGATTATATTTTAAAGAAGATATTGATAATCCTGTATAGAAGATTGTGTCATTTTAAACATCAGTGTGATTAACCATCACTGAAAAATAACAAAATTGTATTCAGCCATTTGTTTCTACACCTTAAGCTTGAAGGAAATTAATTTGAATATGTCTAACCAAGGAGATGATTGTTATTTCTATTTCTACTCTACTTGTACCAAGGTATTTTTCATAGCATTTGAATCTTCTAAGCATATTTGTGTTATTTCATCTGTAACTCAATAACTGCACCATTAATTTTAGTGAATTTCTTGATGTAGTTATGGAAAATGGGTAGTATGCTTATATATAGGAAATACAAAAATAAGTTAATGGAACTTAATTACATTAGGCAAATATATAATTGACATGTCTCATTTATTATATTTTGGGTATAGTTATTCACATAATGCCAGTAAAGAGGTTATACAACAATCAGCTTTTTTGTATTTGTTATACTCATATAAGTATTATGTTATTTTCTAAACCTATTATATATTCATATATCCAAAGTACGGATATATAGAAAGTTTCTTAAGTGCTGTTTCATTGAGTTCTTTTTTTAGTTTGTCATTCCAAAAATGACGAAGGGGCATCAGAAGACATTAACCCTGCTTCTGGAGCAAGTGAAGGGAAGATACCCACTTTCATAGCACATGTTTTCATTATATAAAATGGGTATTTATAGTAAATTCAGTAAACTATTCTCCCATAAAAATGAATGAATGACTGCTATTCATTGCAGCATTGAAGACTGGAGTTCCTTTTCACATTTTGTATCATCACTCTTAGGATGTGAAATGTGAAAAGGAACTTCAGTCTTCAATGCTGCAATGAATAGCAGTCATTCATTCATTTTTATGGGAGAATAGTTTACTGAATTTACTATAAATACCCATTTTATACAATGAAAACGTGATATGAAAGTGGGTATCTTCCCTTCACTTGCTCCAGAAGCAGGGTTAATGTCTTTTGATGCCACTTCCTCATATTTCCATCCATCTTATTATTGTAGCTATCTTTATGCTACAAAGAATATTTTTCTTAAATCTACCTTTTTGTATATTTGATTGCTCAGTGGGATAGCTTTGATTTGATTTAACTTGATTATTTAAATCATAATTCATTTACTAGTCAGGAAAATTCTATACTTATCATTTAGAATAATTTGTTTTTTCTTGTTTTATATAACCTATAATTTTTTTCCTAGGTTTTTCATTTTTATAAGTACATAGCATGTACTCACACATGTGTGCGCGGACGCACACACACACAAATACACGCACACACAGAGAGGTAGGTTTGTATATATGGATGGGTATTTGGCCTCCGTATACCACCACACTGAATTTGAAATGAAAGACTTAAGATGTAAGCAAAGTGATGTTTTGTTAAGTTTGTGAAGTATTTGTCAAACTCCTTGAATTAAAGCTGACATTCTTCATTTTACTCACATCTTGAGTGTATTATTTCAAATTCAGTGTGGGTCCTGCAGGGAGATCGGCTGAGGGAAAGGTGCTATGTATATAAGTCTACTTGCATGGTATTGGATTTCACACATAGATCTTAATCATTCACTCTTTACCATTTTTCATAGGGGGATAATTGCCCTTTTCGTCACTGTGAAGCTGCCCTTGGAAATGAAACTGTGTGTGTGCTCTGGCAGGAAGGTCGATGCTTCAGGAGTATCTGCCGCTTTAGACACATGGAGATTGATGTAAGTGTTTATATAACAGCATAATAAAGCAGTACATTTAGTCTGACAAGGTGAGCATTTGGGAGGAAAGCATGCATTGTTGAAATTAAGTAGATTATAGTACTTTAGTTATGGCCTTGTTTCAACTTTCATAGGAGGCGTTCACAGACCATCAGTACAAATAATAATACAGTTGTACATGTAATATTGCAGTTCACCAAGGATCAGAACTGTAAACATCTTTCTAGATGTTGTTATAGAAAAACCCAATGAAAAAGGCAGACAGCAACACAAAACAATTCTTACTTTAAGTTTCAGAGGTTTATTTTGCTAATAATTTGGAACATAGCAAACATAATAACACAACATCACTTACATTAATAACCCATTGCAATGAGGTCCAATGACATAGCAGTTCCAATAAGGACAGCTATAGGCCAGTATAGCAAATCAATCAGGTCCAGTCCCAACTCTTTATACCCTTTTCCATCCTAAGACTGTAGACAGGTGGTCAGCAATCTTACACTTTCTGCTGACTTTTTGCTGAACATAACTTTCTACATACTCATGTACATTGGAACCCGCATCCATCAGCTACTTTCAGTTCCCTATGTCTTACTGTTCCAGTCCTTATGTTCTAAATATATTTGAAACAAGCAAGCTTAGCAAAATCAAATTAAATAAAGTACAATTGCAAACTGCAAAATTAAGCATAGCACAGACTTTGGTTCAATACTTTTTCCATGAGGCCTGATTTAGTTCACCTGGGCCTAAACCTTGCAGAGAAGAACAATAGCCAATATTTTCATTTTCGACAACAACAAGCATTGTGCCTTCTGGTAAACCATATTATTTATGTTGGGGCTTTTTGTATCATCTAACTGCATTACATGCACTGCTATCTTAAGACTGTGAACTTGCAGGTCTTCTGTCTGTAATTAATAACTTGTGGTTTGTCTTCAGAAAAAGCGCAGTGAAATACCATGCTATTGGGAGAATCAGCCATTGGGCTGTCAGAAATTGAACTGTGCTTTCCACCACAACAAGGGACGTTTTGTGGATGGGCTTTTCTTACCTCCAAGCAAGAGTAAGTTAAATTTTCGTCCTTGGAAAATTGTGGTAACTTAATCTAAATACAAACTTTCTTGAGTTCTATTGTCTGGGTGTGCATACCTCTGTAGATACAATAACAAAAACTATTCTGGACTCATTAGGACTATAATGCCCCACCAGTTTGACCCAATTTATAATAATTACCAGTTCCACATTAATAAATGGTTTATAATCCAGTGGAAGAGATTCAGACTTTTGTTGCTTATGTGAAAGTAACTTCATCAATTGAACTTTTTGTGTTGAAAGTTTCCCATTTTATTCAGATAACTTCATAGCATATACACAAAGAAAGCTTTATACAACTTTATACAAAGTGCAGTATAAGAATAAGAAGTAATAAGCAGAGTAAGAGGTAAATAGTAAGCAAAATCAATGTGAGTGAGTGGAGAAGAAAATGTCATTGAATCTAGTTTACACTAGTACCATTTTATTTTAATTTTAATTTATTTTTCACGTTTCTGAATCACCCATCTCCCTCAAAGAGGGAACATAAATGTTAAAAATGTAAACAGTATATATAAAAGTTCAAAACTTTAAGAGGAGGCAAGAGTTTAAAATTGGGTAGCTACAGGAATGGAGCTAAAATCCTGAAGTTTTCAGCTCTATTATTGCAGCCCACTGAAAGATTTCAGCTCCCCATCATCCTTTTTGCTTGCAACTATCCCTGCTGGCTTCCCATTGACTTTCTGGGGAAGTTGGCAAAGAAGATTGTAAATGGCAATCACATTATTGTGGGATGCTTGGCAACCTGTTGTGAGCCGGTTGCCAAATGCCGAACTGCAGAAGGATGGCACAGTGTTCTACAACGGCCAGAAGTTCTTTATGGACCATAAACCATCCTTTCTGAGACCATTGTAACTTTGAATAGTTATTAAACAACTGTCATGAGTTGAGGACTCCCTGTATATATTATGCGTAATGGACTGAATACAAGCATTGCTATTCTTTGAGTAAGCTGGCTGAAATCATGGAATTTATGTCAGCTATTACTAAATTCTCATAGATTTTAATGAATTCATTCTGAGTATGACCAAACTAAATGGATTATTTGATTGTTGTTTCACTATTTAAGCTGTTCTTCCAAATGTGCCTGAGTCTCCAGAAGAGGAGATGAAGACTACACAACAAAACAAGCTTTCTGTTCAGTCCAACCCATCACCTCAGTTGCGTGGAGTGATGAAGGTGGAAAACTCTGAAAATGTTCCCAGTCCCACACATCCACCTGTTGTTATTAATGCAGCAGATGATGATGAAGATGATGATGGTGAGCTAAATATGATTCGTTCAACCTAAGATAATTTTAAAATAAAGGGAGAATGAGTATAGCAGATAAAATATAAAAGCAAGTGAAGATGTTGTATTCTTGGATTATTTGCTTGGACCGTTTTTTCCCAAACTCATCAAATCAAACCTTTAATTTAAGAAAGATTTTACCTTTTACAAAGAGGAAATCCAGAGGCTTCAGCTAGAATTCCCAAATGATTTTAATGGTTGCTTCAGTTGAGGCTTCATCTGGACAAGCTGTTGTTTTTGTTTTACTTTTGCCTTCTAGTTCATCATATATGTCCAGTCACTTATGTAATTGAATTGTATTGTTAAAGTTGAGGAGGAGAAAAGATGTGAAGCCCAGATGAGCTCTATAGCACATTTGCAAATGATATCACAGTTACTGCCAGATATCATTGTCTCTGCTTCTGTTGAAAAATACTTTAATAGCTCAGGGATTTGGATCAGTTTAAATCTGGCTGATGAGAGTTCCTTGCAAAGAATTAGGTCCTTCTTTCATTGGTCACTAGGCCATAGATAACAGGATGCAATCTATCTTAAGTGAGATGGGTTTGCATGTAAAGTTAAAACATGAACCTCAGCCACTTGTTTCGTATTTTCATACAAAACCTGGAATCTATTACTATTACAAATAGTAATAATCAGTTAATACATATATATAGATTCAGGCTGGTGACTTTCTTCATGGGATACTGAGTCATACTTAGCTGTTTCCTTTTTTAAATAGAAAATAATGGAAGCTATATAAAGTTCAATAACATTTTCAAAATGGTATTAGATTAGCCTTGCATACCAATTGTGATTTTATATTAATTATATCAAATTACCACTTTAAAACCATTGTCAAAAATTAAGAATTAAGAATTAATTAGAATAAACAATATGAGTTTTCTTGTAAACAGAAAAAGGCTGGTCCTTACAATAAATGAAATAAAATCTGTTATAAAGCTTTCTCCTTTAAAGAAAAAAACCAACCTTTGGATACGGTATAAGCCCATGCACAAAGTTTAAGTCCATTAAATTAAATTCAGTATTAGACTTGTTTTTTAAATATAAAGTTACTTTTGACATTGATACTTACTTTTATAGCATGCCATTCTTCTAAAGGTCTAAATGTATCTTGTACAATTAATCATTTAAAAATTATTCTACATTTTTAAATGCAGTTTGAAATTATACAATTAATAGTAAATTATGGATTCTCATGATTTAGTATGAAACCCGAAGATATAGCTCAATAACTGTCCTAACTGATTATGAATATAGAGAGTAGGCATTAAACATTTTAGTTAGGGTTACATATCATTTCTAATAAGACATTATGGATAGTAAATGAGTAGCAGTCCTAGGCACATTAAGAAGGGCAACCCGGCCCTCTGTTGATTTTTAAGATCAGTAGATCTTGCTTATTTATGTATAAACAGGATTAGAATTAAAGTAACTTTAGTGTTCCTTTCAGATCAATTATCTGAAGAAGGTGATGAATCTAAAATGCCTGCTCAACAACCATCTACAGAAAGTCCAAATGGACTGCGGGTAATTTCTACTCGGAAATCAGTGACTAGTGCAAATCAAGATAAAGGTAAGAACAGAAAGTATGTAATATTAAGATTATATTAATTTCCTCACTTGTCTTAGATTTGAAAATTTTACAATCTTGTCAACTACTGTAAATGTTTGGTTTCTGGAATTATATATGCATTTTTAAATCAGATATCTACATTTTTTCAGATAAAAGTTTGAATTTTGGAATCAGGACTCTTGAAGAAATAAAATCAAAAAAAATGAAAGAAAAATCAAAGCAGCAAAATGGTTTGTTGATTTTCTTTCCTTCATTGTCTCATGTAATGTCCTCTTTGATTATTTCTTAGAGAGTGTGTTTGCGTTGTTGAGAAGAAGTCCATTGCGAAGATTTACTTAATTTTGTTTTAAGCTGTTGCTCCTATATAATCTGTTAAGCTAATATCTTACTTGGCTATTGCTTAAGGCAGGGGTCCCCAACCCCCGGTCTGTGGACCAGTATCAGTCCGTGGCATGCCAGCAACCAGTCTGCACAAACAAACAAAGCCCCATCTGCAAAATGCAGGCAGCACACAAAACCACGCATTCTCTGGTCTGCGGAAAAACTTCTCTCCATGGAACCAGTCCCTGGTGCCCAAAAGGTTGGGGATCTCTGGCTTAAGGAAATGAAGAATGTGACCGTAGTGTTATGTTTTCCTTTAGCTGTAAAGACTTGTAGGTTTAGTGACTAAGAAGAAGGTGAAGTTCCATTTCAGCTGCAAACTGACCTGGTATTTTGTATTTCATGATATATGCAGTATTGAAGAGTAGTTGCAAGGAATGATATGTATGGACTACTAGCGAAATTTGTTCTAAATAAACTTTATTGAATTCAGTTTTTTAGATTTTGTTTATCCCATCTTTATTGTTTTTATAAACAAACCAAGGCAGAGAACATATCTAATACTACTTTCTCCTTCTATTTCCCCCATAACATAACCTACGGGGTGAGTTGGGCTGATAGTGATTGACCCAATGTCACCTGGCTGGCTTTCATGCCCAAGGAGGGACTATAACTCCCAGTTTGCTGGTTTTTAGCCTGGTGCCTTAGCCATTAGACTAAACTGACTCTCGCTTGGGTTGTTTTCTTACAAAGCATGTAAACATAAGGTTGAAATCATAAATAGTGGCTGCTGGGAAAGTTAGCATAGCTTTCTTTTTGCCTTCTTCAGACATTCCTTCTAAAATGATTGCTCAACCAAGCCCAGAGAAAGAAAATGCACGGACTGTGGTCAGAACTGTTACTTTATCTACGAGGCAAGGTAAATTTGTCTCTGCTTTTTTATTTCATTTATTCTATTTTTTATTTATAATAAAAATAAAAATATTTTATTTCTTCTAGCTACAGGGTAACCACAGTTCTGTATTTTGTTGTTGATTAAGATTATATATTTATATAGGAATCTAGGCACGAGGGAACTTTATTTGGCAGTATTTATGATTTGCAACAAGCAACAGGTCTGAAAATCATTAGCTAAAAGGGTCATTTAATAAAAATATGCCACTGCAAAACTACCATGTCGTAATTAACTTTTTTCTTATGAATGACTCCTATGGAGAAAATAACTTGGTTACATTTTATATTTAACACTCTTCTAACTTCACTGTTTAATATACACTGTAGCATTGCCATGAATAAATAAGTTCTGTCTCAGTTCATATTCCATGTATCTGAAGGGGGCAATAGTTGTTTATGCTTATGATAGGAAAACAAATGTTAACTTTTCTGGTATTTCACTGTCCTAGGTGAGGAGCCTCGGATTCGATTAACTGTTTCAGAGAGATTGGGGAAAAGGAAATCTACCATGGGTGAGTAATCACATGAGGGGAAAAAAGGTACTACAGATAGTCTTTGACTTATCATCACAATTGAGCCCAAAATTTCTGTTGCTAAGTGAGACATTTTTAAGTGAATTTTGCCCCATTGTATGACTTTTCTTGACACAATTGTTAAGTTAGTGACATGATTGTTAAGTGAATCTGGCTCCCCTATTGACTTTATTTGTCAGAAGGTCACAAAAGGAAATTACATGACCCCAGGACATTGCAACGGTCATATATATGACTCAGTTGCCAAGCATTTGAATTTTGATCACGTGACTATGGAGATGTTACAGTGGTCATAAGTGTGAAAAATGGTCAGAAGTCATTTTTTTTCAGTGCTGTTGTAACTTTGAATGGTCACTGAATGAACTGTAAGTCAACTACCTGTACTGAAATGTCTGTTCACCACATCATCATTTGTTATGTATCACAGCCATGCTTTTCTTTATGGATGCATAGATATACAAAGTTCAAGAAATGTATTCCTTTCATTTCTAGCACTTACTGAATTACATCTGAATAGAATTAGAAGCACAGTAGATTTTTATTGTATCTTGACAACAAGAAATAGCCAGTTAATATATTTATTTGCATTATAAAATTATGTTTATATAAAAGTGCACTGCCATTCTAGGCACATACTCATTGAAGGCAGATTATAGTATCATTTGAGTAAATAAGGTCTATAATTCCAAGTAGAGACATATGTGTGATACATAAGTAGTAGAAATATTTTGGATTTTTAAAAAATGAAACATACATTTATTCTCTTTTCACCATAAGTCACCGAGACTGGAATTCCATTAAAGCGTAGCCTTGCTGATAGATTGGGGAAAAAAATGGATTCACTTGAAACTGCAGAAAAAACACCAAAAAGAGGTATGGATCTTCCATTAATAAAATTTATTTATTTCAGGTTTAGATAATATTCAGAAACAGATAATATTCAGCTGTAGAAATATTCTTAATATTTGTTTAATTAATATATGTTTAGTGGAGATAGCTTAAATAATAACTGTGATGTCATATTCTCCTAGCTTTTCTTACAATACTCAAATAACTTCAAAAACTTAGAATAAATCTTACATAATGAGAAAGTTTCTTTGACCATTCTTTGTGGATAAAATTTAATGTTTTAATTTTATGGAGAAAATATGTTTCCGTAGTCTTCTGGAAAATAATCACATTTTCTCTAAAACAATTCCAAAGTTGGATATCGTATTTTTTGTAATAGTATGTATATTGGAGATGTATTAGAGTATGGGGTAATAGTTAATGCATCATGCATGTAATGGTGCATATAAATTGCAAGAAGCCATGTGTTTGATTTCAAAAACCTTTTTTAAAATAAAAGTGACTATAGCTGACTTCATCATTCTTAATTTTAGTTCAAGTTCCCAGGTCTCTTAAAGAAAGGCTGGGATTACCATCTGAGCAAAGCAATATGGAAACAGGTATTAATTTTATTTTAATACAATAAAGTTTTCTTTCAACATTTTCAATAGTGAATTTTTGCTCAACTGAATCCTTTGCATGTTTGTTCAGAAAGCATCTTTATGGGACTAAATGTTATACCTTGCTAGTTGAATACTGAACTGTAACATAGACCTTTTAAAAATAGTCAACCAGCATTGTATTTTAAATCCCTTTTTTAAATTTTAGTTCTGTGCTTGCTGGAAAATCTTGTTCATCTATTTTTTATCATATATTTCATATCTATTTTTATTTTGAGATTCTAGGTTATTATATGAAAATCTGGCAAAGATTGAAAAAAATATATTTGTGAAGTACAGCCCATTTAAAGTGAAACATAAAGAATAGCATTAGTTTATGTGTTTTTGTGTTTGTTTTTGTCTCAGAATCATTGGGGAACACAACCTTCTAGTGGGCAAAAAGTGTGAGATCTTAATGAAATTTAAAATATAGTCCTTGTATATGTTTTAATTATTTATTTTGCTGAAACAGAGTCTGCTGCCAAACCAACTGGTGAGATCTATATTAAAACACTTGAAGAAATTCGCTTGGAGAAAGCTAGCCAAAAAAAGGGAGAAATGCACCCCAAACCAAAAGTTGAAGTGGCTTGTATAACAAATCCCAATGCAGTGTCAAAAACTCCTACAGTACGGATCAAAACCTTTTCTGAAGTCTTGGCTGAGAAAAAACAAAGGGAAATGGAAGAGGAGCGAATAAAAACTGAAAAAGAGACCTTTTCCAAACCAAAGCCTGAGTGTGAATCTCAGAAAGAAGGATTTCTGGGAACCGCTGTATCTAAAAAAAGAAAATTGGAAGAGTCTTCTGTCAAAGCCAAAGACTTTAGGGAAGTGCACATCAAAACTCTGGAGGAAATCAAGCAGGAGAAAGCTCACCGCATGCAGCAATGTTTGGAAAGCACATCAAAGACACAGATACAATCTGAACGAACTATAACTGGGAGGAGAATGTTGAATGTTACAAAATTGACAGGTATCAAACTTTCCTTGTTAAAAACGTTGAATTTTTTTAAAGGATTCATTCAGAGTGTATTCCACTCAGTTTCATTTTGAAGCCAATTATTATATAACAAGACAGATACCGGTAAATGTTCTTGGCCTGGATCTTAAAATACAGCAATGCCAGAACTATTATATGCTTAGATGTATTAGTAATGACAAAAATAAAGATGGAGGAAACTAACTCTGACTGTTCCTCAGATCTCTCTCTGTATTTCAGATTTGAGAAGCAAAACAGATTTAACGGCTCTAAGTCTCAACCACTTCTATCTTGTTTTAATTCATTATATTTATTTACTAATCAGAACAGACTGATCATTCGTTGTTTTTTAAAAAGTCATGCTTTTGAGCGTTTAACATATTAGAAAAATGCATTCCTAAGAAACTCACATTTCAGAATTAGTTAATTAATTCAGAACAACTACAAAAATCATTATTTAAATATGAAATAAAAATTTTCTGCCATACAGTCATGAAATTTGTGATCTCTTCAGAATTATAGATAAAATATAGGTAATTCTATAGTAGTGAGAGAATTATCTGTGCTTCATTTTAGTCTTGTTAACAGATTTTGATTAAGCAAACAACATTGACAATAGTCTACTATGGATTATATCAACAAATTCTATAGAATATAAGGATATTTATCCATCTACTAAAGCTTAAATTAATGTATTCCTAAACATACAAGTAAATTTACAATAATCTGAAGCAGAAAAAAAAAAACCCACATCAAAATGGCCAGTTCAAAGCCTGATCTAGTGTTGTGACATGACCAAAGTGAGCAGTTCTGGACAACACTGCCCCAAAATATCCAGTTGAAGCAATTCTGTAGAAAAGAGTGGTTCAAAATACCCCCAAGCTAAGTGTGAGATCGAGCAACAGGTTAAAATAATTCTGCTAAAAGAAGTGGCATCTAATACTTTAGATAGTTTTTCCAATAAAGATAGTACTGGTTCAGTGTGTTCAATTGTGACGCAGTATTCAGTTTTATGTATTTATTGTCTATAAATAGTTAAAGCTCAGATCATCTTTTATATTAGTGTTGTATGACTGGATAATTCCAAAGGGCTACAAACTTTCAACATTCTACACAAAGGTGGATAGAAAAATTCCAAAGTAATATTATTATGCTTTTTGGCTTCAAAACTTGGGAAAGTTAGTCGAAAAGTAAAAGAAATTGCTTGCTCTTCCATAGCAAGTTCTGGGCACTCTGCAAGCACATCTAGCCCTCCTGCCCTCATATCTCATTTGCAGACATTCACAACACTCAGGTGGGAGTGTGGTAGTAAAACAGTACAGTTTTAGCAGTTTAATTTGGGACTTTTTAAACATGGGGATTAATAGTGAAAATAATAACAATTTGCCTCTGAGAAGCCCATATGTCCCATTTGCATAAAAGCCAAAAAAACAACCCAGGCTGAAAACATTGGTCATGCTGCTTTCAGTGACTTTTCCTGTAACCTTCCAGAGGGATGGGGAGGTAAATTGCTGCCCTTGAGCATTCAAGAGCTAGTCACTGCCCTACATCCTAGCTTGGAATGTTTTGTTTATTTATTTATTTTATTTAGAAAAGTTATAGCACTGCCTATTCACAGTGAAATTCTAGGAGGTTTACAAACAATAAAAACACAATATAGAGAAGAAGAAAAACCAATAACCCCACTCCCCACCCACCCCAGTGACAGCACATGATTAAATAAATCATGGTTATTCCAAATAATGTTATAGAAAGCTGGTGCTGGCAATTGTAGTTCTTTTCAGAATTATCCCTGTGATTTATCAACAGCTCCTGAAAAGGAAGAAAAAACTCTGGTATTGAGGTCTTCTCCAAGAATTTCTACAGGAGACATTGCTACAAAGGTGAGCTTCATTGTACTGTAAGAAAATAGCTTTTGTGAATGCACATTCCTTGCATCATGCTTTTATTTTGTATATTTGGAAACTATAATCTAGTATTTTAATTAGGAGTACTTGACATGATAAAAGAGACATCATTCTCACTCTTCTAAGCTTATTTAGATACCATTGTCGTGAATCATAACCAACAATTGATGTTGCAGCATATTACAGGTGGCAGGTCATGCTACCAAATAGACCACTGATTATAAAACATACTCTTAATGAAGATCAGATGTTTAATATGGAATTTTGTTCCATACAATTGTATTCTGTACAGTCTGTTTTAGGAAACAGGGCTTAAGTAGGAAATTATAATCAAGCTGATCTCCACTGCAGTTGCAATGCATTTCTTTCTGACTTTAGGCTTCCACCAAGAAGCAAAACATATGTATGGTTGCCATAGAGTGTGCTTTTAATTTTTTTTTTAAAAAAGAACCTGCATAACATCAAAAATGTTGGTTGAGTGATGCTCTCTGCCCTAAAGGCCATAATAAAGATTTATATTTTATTTGTGTGGAGTGGTAAGGACTTGTAGTGATCGCTTATTGGACATTTGCTTTTTAAAAAAGTATTTCTCTTGCATCTATGCAGCCTTTGAATGATAATGTGAGTAATTCACATTCTAAAGTCTATGTGAAGAGCTTAGAAGAAATAAGGAAGGAGAAGCAACGGTTAAAGCAACAGCAACAACAAGAGGAAAAGCCCCAGGAACTACAAATGAATGTGACACTTGCTGGGGAAGAAATAGAAGCAAAAATGCCAGAAGTGACTACAAACTCTGAATCCCCAGTGACTATGAGGAAAACCCGTCCACTTCCCAAAAGATTGTTGGTGAGATCTCAGGAGGGAACATCAGAAGGCCTGAGACTTTGCCCTCAGAGTGCAGAACCAAGAACTAAGGGTAAGGTTCTCATTCCAGAATAGTTCCTTGTTTTTAAATAGAAAACATTTCTGATCTGCAAGTACTCTAGAATATTTATCAGGTTCTTGAGATAATGGCAAGCTGCATATTTTAATTCCTTTTCTTAATATGTCTTGGACATAAGGAAAAATTAATAATCCTAGTTAGGTGCCAGCAATTGCTTGACTTATGTTAAACCCATGAAAATAAGTACAATATTGTTGAACGTGTTCTAGATTAATAAATCTGGAATTTTTCTATGCGTGGATCCATGTATTCTGATTGCTTCAAAAATAGCATTGATTATAGTGCTGTGGGAAGTAGAACTTCATTATATATTGGATGATATCAATCTTCCATCTTTGCTTCAGATGTATACAAGTCCATATTGGTAGGAAAAGGGTTCAGGCATCTATATTATTAACAGATAAGAGCAGTTCTCAGAAATCATTATTATGTAAATTTTCCCTTTTCAGCATGCAGAAAACTGAGTTCATTTTTCAACTATTATTTCTTCCCATTGAGAAGTTCTGTCTCTATGATGAGATATTTCTAGTCCTACTTTCTCTCCAGGATACTGCTGTTTTTATAACTCCTTTTGTGTGGGAAGCACTGAAGTGTGGGAATAATGCTTAGAATAATATTTTATCATCACTCTAGAAATGTAATTTTAAATATTTCCATACATTAAAATTTAGAATTGATTAAAATAGGTGTCTTCTAAAAAGCGTTTTTCCAAATACCTTGCGCAACATTAACAGAGAGGTTATCACTCCATTCTCACTGAACTGCTTTTATATTTCAGTCAAACCCAAGATGAATGTGAAACCATCTGGAGTGAAACCCATTTCCCCAGCAAAGCAGACACTGAAGCGAAAAACACCAGAGAGTCATCCCTCTATTGTTGCTGCAGTGAAGCCTCTGAGCCCTATCACAAGCACAGAAATGAAAAAGTTTGCTTCTGAAAACACAGTTCTGGTAAGAAAACAGATTAGTGCTATTAGATTGTGCTACTAAAATTCTGAGATGACTGAAGACATTAGATCAGTGTGGTTCTTAATTTGGGCGATATCGCCTCCCAGGGGGTGATTTCGTTTTTCAGGGGGGCGATGGAACAAAAAGGGGCGATGCGGGGCGATGGAGCGAGAAGTTTTGGGGACACTTTTGAGACTTTTTCATACAGTGAATGGCTGTATATCTGTCGTACAAAAACATCAGATCACTCGCTATTAGTGGATTGAATTGTGTTTTCAAATGTTCCTCCAGCTAGCTTAAGTACAGAACGTCGTACATATGTGAATACGCATCGCTTATCTTCATGCGCGTTGCGCAGCAGCCTCTACCCTTTTTATATTTCTTTTTGCTTCTTAAATTTCACTTGTAATTCAATCATTAAATGTTACTGTTTTTCTTTTCGGGCATTTCACTTTCTTGCAATTGAATTTTGTTTTCAGTGGTCATTACATTTAAGTGTCTTGAATAAATAAGGTAATAATGAAATACATGTACCACGAAGTTTGGGAATAAAGTGACGAGTGGCACCAAAATTTTTCACACAATTGAGATATGTGAAAAAGACTGGAAATAATGATGACAATTTTAAAGAAAACAAAACAAGTGTTTGCATAAATTGAAGAATTATTTCCTATGTTGTGATTGAGAGGTTATGTTGGGGGAGGGGGGCGATGACATCTTCCTCATTGGCTCCAGGGGGCGATTCATTCAAAAAGGTTAATGACCACTGCATTAGATTGTTTTATATATACACTTTTCTATCTTATAGGAGTAGCAAAGTAGCAAAGGAGTACTTTTTGATCTAAACCTCTTCAGAGAGGTCTCTATATTCATAGAATATGAATTATTTTGCATAAAAAAGAACAATGGAATGGAAGTCCAGGAATAAAATAACTGGTGATAGTGAACCTCACAGAATGATTTTATTTTTTATATTTTTTCCCTTAGGGAAGCACCCAAGATCATTCAAATGATAGTATAACCACTATGCCTAAGAAGGTGGATTATAACAGGTAATTATTATTTCTTGATAGTCATATTGCACATTATTGGAATTTTCTCATAGAACAGCAGGGCAAAATGGAATGTTTACTTGGCATAAATTGGATCATATGATATTTATGTTCTTTCCCTTCATTTTTATGAGTAGATATTTGGGTAATAACCAATGAAAACAGATTGTGGAAAAATCCTGTGAGAACCTTGAATATACTCAGTCTGAAAAATTCTAAGTACCTGGTTGCTAGCTCTGAAAGTATTTGTCAAAGAAATATCTTTAATAAGTTATAAACAGATTTTTAAAGAAATATAAGTAGCTAGCTAATAAGGTTTTCTTTTAGTGATTTCTAGTCAGTCATTGTGATGAAACAAAAGTGAAATGTTCCTTTAAATCTGGCTATAGATTGGAAAGCATCATGTAGCTACTTCAAATTTCTTAACAGTGAACTCTAACTTGCTAATAGTTTTGAAGAAGCACTGTGAGTTTGCAGGTAACAAAGTTTAAAAGGCAAAATTATTCTAAACCAGTTTGTAACTAATCTTGTAGGATTCCCAAGTCAACAGACCATGTATTTGTTTTTACAGTAATTTGTAGGTTATCTCTGATTTTAAAAAAATGGTAATATTTTGGTAGTTGTATAGTAACAAATAGACATCCTGTGCTATGTTTCATTTGGTATCTCTTTTTGCAGTTTAGCCCTCTGTATTTGATGTAGAGACCTGCTAAAGAAATCTTATAATAAAGTAATTATATTAGACTTTCAAAGTGCTAAAAAGATATGCTGTTTTTATTATATCTGATATGCCCCATAGCAATTTAATTTTTGGTGTGTATTATATACTGCTCAATTTAAATTTACGTACGTTTAAAAGAAAGCAGTAGGCTATGCAGTGGAAAATATCCATAGGAACTGTTTACTGCTAATATTGCAGTAAATATCTAATGGCACTTTGGTAGAATTATAGAGTTAAAAGGTACATTGGAGATCATTTAGTTCAAACCTCTTCAGTGCAGAATTTGGAGAGTATTTCTGACAGATACCATCTAGCCTTTGTTTGAAGACCCAAAGGTGCTTTTTCATGAGGCAACTGGACTTCCTTTTTTCTTTGAAGACGTTTCGCTTCTCTTCCAAGAAGCTTCTTCAGCTCTGAAGAAGCAAAATATCTTCAAAGAGAAAAAAGAAAGTCCAGTTGCCTCGTGAAAAAGCACCTTTGGGACAACCATGACCTGGATGACTGAGAATCTCCATAAACACTCTATTTGAAGACCTCCATCAAAGCAGAATTCACTATCTTATGGGATAGCATGTTCTGTTGGCTGACAGCTAATATGCCAGAAAGTTCTTCCTGATTTCTAGTTTGAATTACCTCCTTGTAGATTTAACACTTTGGCTCTGGGGCAATTGGCAAGTCCAATCTCTTACTACATGCTGTGAAACATAGGCCCTCTTTTTTCCTGCTAGCCTTTATATCCTGGGCTTGTTATATAGCCTAGATACTACCACAACATAATTTGTACTTTACCTACCTCTATTCTGCCTATAGTTAACTTATGTCCAGGGTTCATCCCACACCATTTTAGTTGAACTGAAAATCCTGCAAAGTTTTACACGTGATGTCTGTTTTCTTCTTGGAGATGTATAATTGTTTTGTTTTTTCCCTCTTTGTGAAGCTCTGACCAGGTTGCCTCCACGTTGCAAGCAGAGATAGCAAACCCAAGTTCTTCCCGTGCAGCAGTAACAAAGGCCCGCAGACTGAGCTCAACAGGAACTGGGAAGATTCAGTCTTCAGTTGAAGATGATTTTGATACGCTGATTTGGGAAATCTCAGGAGGCAAACTGGAAGCAGAGATTGATTTAGATCCAGGAAAAGATGAGGATGAGCTCCTGCTTGAACTCTCTGAGATGATTGACAGTTGATTTGCTACACAGCTTCATTTTGACAGAAAATAAAAGCTATATGTTTTGTTGGATTACCCTTTCTAGGAAGGAGATACGACAAGTCTTAAAGTACACTTGAAACTGCTTGAAGAACTTGGCTGCATTAGTTTATTTTGAATTACCCTGCTGGTCAGAGATACGTCCTAACTATTGCGCATTTTAAATATTTTCAGAATGAAACCATGAACATTTCATCTAGAGAAGATCCAAGACCACTCATAGTTCTACACAGCAACTCTTTTTTCATCATTATATTTTCTACTGGATTGTCATACCTGTTTTTCAGCTGTGTGGCTCGTAATTTCTGTGTATGTCAGAGCTTTTTGCTTTTGGGAGTTATTTCTGCAGTTTTGAGTCACTTTTTGGGTTATGTAATTTTTTAAAAAAAGCCTAAAAATGGCAGAACTATTTATAATGCAGAGGAAAGGAAAATAAACTTGGACCAAGCCTACTACATGTGGAACTTCTTATACCATTGAAACCGAAGCAACATTTATATAGAAGATGGAATAGCACATTTTATTTTCATCCCATTCATCTTGTGCCATTTTGACTGGTTTCATCTAGCATATAGAAATTCATGGGGGGAGCGTTAAACATCCTTTTTAATTTATTCATTTGAGAGATAATTAAAAACTTGCCCTAAAAAGATGTGCAAAATTTATTCAAAGATTTCCCTCCCCCCTCTGTATGGAGAATATGATGGCTGTATTGCTGGTGCTGCTGCATGGGTCATTTTAAACCAACCTTGGGACTGTTGCCCTCTGACATCGTAAACAGTCTGAGACATCTCCCAGAGCCTCTGGTTCTTTAGTTGCTCATTTAACGAACTTTTTCATCCACAAATCTACGTATATTCTGAATTTTCTCATGGACTCAGCTATGGCCAAATGAAGATTTAGGAATATTGTGTATCCTGCAATTCTTGTATTTTGTATGACATTTTTTCCATTCTTAATACTATTGTTTCTAATTAGTTTAATTACCCCAATCCTGCCAGTTACAACTTAGGGTTAAGAAATAATGCAGAATGTGTTCTTTGTTTATATTCCTAGCCACGGGGTGGGAGGGGGACAGTTGCTTCTAATATACATTCTAATGTAAATATAGTAAGCTTTACAGACGAGGGGGGAAAAGGCAGTGCTTTGCCAATTCAGTTTGAAGTATTGCCTCTAGGGGAAAAAAGATGCAAAAAGATTTAAATATTGAAAAAAAGGCTATCCTGAATGAACTGTTTGTCTTCATATTGCTCCCAAGAAATTGGAAATAATTCTTCAGCAAACTGAATGGCAATAGAATTTTTGGCTGATTGTAAATGGAAACTAACAGGTGTCTGAGACTATGAAAGAATTTTCCATGTTGTTGCAGGTGTTCTAGTTTGCTTAAATAAAATGTTCTGTTTGAGGTTAGTTTTCTTCCCTTTTCTCTCTTCTGCATAAGAGAATTCCACTGAGTTTTTACATACTCTATTTTTTTCTGTACATATTTCTATTTAAATCATTGTATCTGAATCAGATGTTTAAACAGTTTAACAATTTGTGTTTTAAATAAAGATAATGTAAGAATTTTTTTCAAGCGTTGTTCCTATATGATGGTAGTTGTTAGTTGTGAAGTCATGTCCGATCCATTGCGACCCCATGGACAACATTCCTCCAGACCTTCCTGTCCTCTACCATCTTCTGGAGTCCATTTAGAGAATATAATTTAGTGGATCAAGAGTAGGCTTAACTAGGGTTTGGTAAATCATGGTTCAACGTGATAATACAGGCATTACCATAGCATATTGTATGAACTGGATCATCACTTTAAATCATATGTTTGACTATATTGATATGTGAACATAATTTGTTAACCAGGATATAAGTTTTAATGTCATAGTGGTATAAATCCTAACAATGGGGTTGTAGTGACAGAAAGACCCAAGGGTGTCCTATGATAATTTAATTCCGCAGTTGTTAAACTTTACCATGTATTAACCATCTTGATGATACTCTTTGAGCCTCCTTGTTAACCTATTTTTAATTTTAAAGTGCTTGCTAAATGAAAAAAAAGTATACATTTATATTTACATAACTTTAATATCATAGTTAACCTAATACAAATTTTCTAGCTCTATGATTCTTTCATTCGATGTAGATTTTTAGTCCCTGAGGATACAAGAGAACTTCTAGGCTTAAAACTGAAAATTTCATATAGGGAAAATATAGGAAGAGGAGTAAGAGGCAGGGATAATTAGGACGTAAGTGCAGTTTAAGAGTATATGGTTATACAGTGTTTTTGAGATTTCACCTATTTTCTCCAAAGTGGAAAGGAAATTACAATCTGTTAAAAGGTTATGCCCTCTTCACTTTTTTTGTGGTCATTTTGTAAAGTCAGCTTGCATCACTAACCCTAACCTACAAGACTCTCTCAAGGCCAAAACTTGTCCTACCTTTTATATGTCTCAGATATTCCATAGGTTTTTAGAGTACTTTTTATTTACATTAATCCCAAACAATTCTCACTTCATATTTTTACACTATGTGATTGTAGAAGTCTGGGTGAAGAAACAAAAGACAATGCTAGGATTTCACTAAATATGTATTTAAAATTTAATACTGTTCATGTGAAGTGGCTCTTCAGCATCTTGAGCAACAGAATGAGATTTTGCACCAATGAGTTACAACTTTCACCTATAAACTAATTGCGGAGAAAGATTTAGCATTTCCAGATAATATTCAGACAAATGATGGGATTATTCAAGTAAAAGGTGATAAGAGAAAATAATACATTTATTGCTGATTGAAAGCTTCTAAGGACTTTTTGCATAAAAATGAAAAAAACTTGTGTTTGGACAGGAGAGATTGTAGAAAGACAGTAACGTAACTTTAGAGAGAGGTTAATGTATATTTGTACTTAGAACTCCTGTGAAGAATATTGAATGCCACTTTATACTTTTCTATTTTAGTTTTTCACTTTTTTGCATCTTGCTTTTTTATCACTTTTTCCTTTATTTTCTAGTAGTTTATACTATGTTTACCTTCTGGTTTAAAATATTTTTTTAAAAAAATATACTTAAAAATATTCAAAAAGCAGTAACATCCCTTTACTTGCCATGCTGAACTGTTTATGTAACATTCTTTTTTTAATATAAGTATCTTAATTTTTTTTTCTAGCCACTAGTTAAAACAAATACACTGGGGTAGTTTTGGCAAGCTACTAGACCTTAATTTGGTATGGCTTTAATTTAACTATTAACTAGTCAACAACTTTAGCATCAGGAATGCAAATTTGATTACTCTTCTTACAAACATCTTTCATGTTACATGAGGCTGCTTTCTCAGACACAGTTGAATTTTGCAGCCGGTGACAACTTTTTCAGTATGAGCTTTTGTCCTTTGAAACATTCTACACAGGTTGCAAACGCCTGACTATGCTTCATGTGTTTTATTTCATTTTCTGCTTCATGAATGTCAAATTGAGAATGGTACCAGGCTAGAAACAGAAGACCATAAGTCCCACCTTAGCTGTGAAAGCCAACTAGGTGACTATGGGCCAGTTACTCTCCCAGCCCAACCTACCTCACAGAATTGTTGAGAAAATAGGAGAAAGTAGCATTAGGCATGTTCTCCACCTTGAATTATTTATAAAAATAATAAAGGCAGTGTGTAGATAATTCTATTCCTATATAGCAGAGGCGTGCCTAGCCCCTAAGTGACATGCTTGGAGGACAAGCATTGTAAGAAAAGCAGAATTAAGCTTGTGTATCCAAATGGCAACTCTTTGATACATTTTGTTTTGTGGACACACCTGCATTTTTAAAACCATTTCTTTCAAATAATCTGCATGATTCTAATAACAAAGTGAGGGAAGTGTGGTTCAGAAAAAAGATTTCCCTTGGTAAAATTTGTGTTTTTTAATTTGCTTAACAGTATCATTTGTTGCTTCTTTAAATCTGGTTAACAAGATTTTGAAAGCTAAAAAAACTGCATTTCAACTAGATTAGGACCATTAAATTCAACAAGAAATGAAAATTTAGATGAAGCATTTAGCTTACCTTATTAGCATTTATCACAATAGAAATTGGAAAAAAAGACTGCTTATAGATAATACCAAACAGCAATAGGTTCTACATTTAATAGAATACATCAAGTTGTGTTTAAATTTGGAAACTTCTCTGACAGCTTTTGATTCAGCTTGTTTCTACCTAGGCAAGGAGGCATAAGCCAGGTGGCCCACTATCATAGAGGCTGTGTGATTAACAAAACTGGCTTATTTCTGTGTATTCAATGATCCAAGCCAAAAAGCCTATTCAAATTACCAATCCTTTTTGACTTACAGACCCTAATATTCAATGAAGGGATGTGAGGCACATACAAACACCCAGACATAGAGATGCCTCTTTCACAATTTACAGGGCAGAATAGACAGAAATTGAGCCATGGCACAAGCCAAATTATAGGACATATTTAAAAAAAATGTAAAAGGCTCAGCAGAGTAGATTGCAGGCAATTAATGATTCATTTCAAAATTTCATCTTGCCTAAGTTGAGATCAAAAATATACTAGGCATATTAGACTCACAGCACTTCAGAGACTCCTAGGCACTGAAAACAAGTCAGAAGATAGCTGTGGCCATGCTCCCACTTCTGATGTTGCAAGAGTAAAGTTTTCTTTACTGGGTTTTCAGCCTGTGTGGGACCATCTCCAGCTATATTGATGATCAGAGTTGGTAATGGTCATCTAGGTCATTGTTCAACTCTCATAAGCAGAGTTCTTCCTGGTTTAACTTTAAAGTGTATTCTTACTTGGTAGAGTTCTGTATTAACAGTAGCATTTGAAAGCCCCTTTCTCACATTGTAAGAATATACTGGGAGAATTAAAGTATTTTCTTCCACATTAGGCATTGATATATTCTTCATTTTGTGCTTTTTCACAGTGTATATGTCGACTAAACTTTCCACTGAGTGATTTATGCAAGCCCACCACCTTGTTTCAACTAATCCTTGCATTGTAAAGGAAACATTGAACAGATTTCTAATATATTCCAATATACCTCCACTCCAGCTTTCCCCTGGGCCCCATCCTGATGTGTTGACTTTAATTCTCAAAATTACTGGCCACTATGACCATTGTTTAGAAATTTGGGAGCTGGAGTAATCAGAGCAAGTACCTATGTATTTAGCTTTGGCACTGAAGCTAAATAACTTCCAAAACCATTTGACGCTTGCTCATTTTAAATGCTCTTTTGATAACCCCATTTAGTAAAGAATCTTTTCTTGCTTTTTAGCAGGAAAGATAAACAACAATCCAATATAAAAGGGATTCCTTATGAGCCTATCTGGTAAGTGGAGCCAACTGAAGTCTAATACATCTAAAGAAAACTAGGTTAAGGAAAAAAAATTGTGAAAGGGCACACTAGATACATACAGCACTATCCTGTAATTTGGAATGAGATTCCTCACATCCCAAATTGTGAATCACAGATATGCACATTTTTGGAACAAGAGATTAAGGAGAATTGACCATCAAAGCAGAGGTTGGATACATCCAGAAACCAGGAACATATCAGGAAGTGAGAAAAAAATGGGCTTCATTTTTTGTATCTTTTTATTTACAATATTAAAAAATGCTTGCCCATAAATGGATGGCCTCACAAGTTCAGTCTGGATTTGTCAGTGATACACTGTGCAGGACCAAATGACAATGAAAGACATCAAGGACAGAGGCAGCAAATACTTAGCACTGATATCTATTGAGGCTTTGCTCAATTTCACCTTTATTCGTAATTATTATTCATTCATGTCACAAACTGAGGCAGTCCAATGATACACTTGTTCCATTTTTTGTTTAAAAGTAGGCAAATTAATGGGCTGAACAAGGCATTACAATACCATTTTCTAAAAATTTACACCAGCCAATCAATGAAACAGATTGGGAAGTTGAGTTTAGCTAATGGCAAGGCCCAAAAGCAGCTAACAAATTAGTAAAAAAATAAGAAATGATTTTGTTTTCTCAAAGGACAAGAAATGATTCTGCAACAATGAAAATCCAGAGAAACACTTAGGTCAGTGCAAGATATTGCAGTTTTATTTAATTGGATCTAATTTTAGTTTTGTCTGCTGAAACCAATTAACTCAAAAAACATACACTGATATCTAATGTGATTTGGATATTTTCTTACTATCTCCTCAGATCTCTTCTTTCCCTCCTCCATTTTGCTGTTTTTCAATACCAACTCACAAAGGATTATTTTTTTAAAAAACACATAACCCCCTCCGCATTAATATTAGAGTTTATTTAACCGATTCAAAGGCATGTCTTTTGATGGAAACTAATCAAGGAGTGAACCAACTGAGAAATAAGACATTTCCTGATAGAACAATTAACCATGGAATGGGTTGCCTTCAGAAGTTGCGAATGCTCCATCACTGGAAGTTTTTAAGAAGAGATTAGACAGTCATTTGTCTGAAAGGGTATAAGGTCTCCTATTTGAGCAGGGGTTGGACTAGAAGACCTCTACGGTCCCTTCCAACTCTGTTATTCTGTTATTCTTTTAAAATAGATGTCTATTAGTGAACTGTCTGCATA